TCTCCAGAGAAGTGTAACACGCGTGGGGATAATGTGCACACGCGTGCCTTTATACACGCGCGCACCTCCAGGCACATCCCTCACACCTAGGCGTTTCTGCTGAATAAAGTCCACCCACGTCTACCCCACACCGTCCCCCCGGCTGCCTGCTCCCTGACCCCATTGCTATGGCAGCTGGTTGGGAAGTGAGCACTGAAAGTGCTCCGAGATTGAAGAGTGAGATTAGTGTAAGGCGAGGACTCGGAGGGGGCACACACAAAGAGCCAGCCCCAAACCAAAAGGAAGGGAGGGAGACCCAGACTTCTTAACCAAAGCCATGCACCGCAAACATTTTTCCTAAAACTGCCTCCACAAAACCCTTCTGACAGATAGCGCAGGCAAGCCGGGCTGAGACCCAAAGAGGAGAAACAGCAGCACCGTCTCTTGGAACAGTAGATCTCCCTGGGTGTCTTTGCGTTGCTAGGCCTGGGAATCTGATCTGCGCCCAGACCGGGCCAAGGAGGTTGCAAGCTTCAGGTCACTTTTAAGACATGAAGATGAACCAACCTCGCTTTGGGGTTTCGTTTTGTTTTGTCGCTGCGATATTAGAACCTTCTGTTAAAAAACAGTGACGAGGATACTTTGAGTTGCTTGGTTTTTTCAGCATTTTAGTTCATTTCCTTCTCTCTGTCCCATGGTAGTAGCATCATTGGCGCATTTTTATAGTCAATTAAAAAATAATAAAAGGAAAAGCCAAATCTGTCCTCTTAAAGAGCGACGTTTGAAGCCCCATAATACGTAATAAGAAACACTATAAAACCTTTGACGAACTAGCAAGGGGGAGTTTGGACTCGCAACCAGTTCTCTAAGAAATACTTCAGCACAGCTCAGCTCTGAAGACTGTTACATCCTCGCCTAAAACTCAAACCTCAGACTTTAACTTTGTCATGTTCCTAATAATGAAAAGCAAATGTGAACGCAAAAGGGTTGGCCGTCGTTTCCCAACATGGATGTTTATTTAGAATAGGGCCTTTAAAAAAAAATCAAATCAGTGGGAACCCTCCAAAAGTAATCTAATGATCTCGAAATGGAGCGAGTCGAAATCGGGTGTATTACAATCGGATTTAAATGTGTTAACTTCTGAATAGCTGATGTCCTGTCCCATCACATTTTCATTTATGGAAGAGATATTCTCAGTCCTAGGGAAAGGGTCTCCCTTATTATTTACTGTTTGTTTTCTTTTTAAACTATTAGGTCTATTAAAATATTATAATATTATACACACGCATATATGTATATACACAAACACTAGATAGATACACACATTATTATATATACACACACACACACACACACGCACATACTGAAAAAAACAATTAAGAGGCACATTCGACATTGGTTTTTTATACCTGATGATCTAGCTGAAATTTCCTTCAGGGTTAACAGATCGCCGAGTACCAGAGGGGTTTAGAACAGAAGATATCTTAATTAAAAACCCTAATCAAGCAACATTAATTGAAAATACTTTGCAAAACACAGAAAGCATTGCAAGCGGCTGATTCTGAAGGCGCTTAGCATATGCACTTGTGTCTGTGCATATACGCAGACACTGTGCGTACACACACACACACACACACACATAATATATATTTTATATATTATAATACGCAAAGATTAATATTATACCGTAAGGCAGTATGTTTCATTTCTCTGGCTGTGGAATTCCGTAGTTTGGCCCTTACTCACCTTATTATAAAGCCTAATCTTTTGATTTACAGCTATTAAAGCCGAGAGGCTCCTGTCCCAATAGATAAATTATAGTCTGAAGTGATCCAAAATAATTTGCATCTCTAGCTAGGAACTGCTTTAGCTTTTTAGACTTGCCTTTCGCCTTGTGAGCCAGAGTAAAATTACAAAGAGTTTCTCTCTAACCTGCCCCCACTCCCCCAGCCCCTTTCGAAATCAGGTAATAGAGTCAAACTCCCAGGAGAACTTCACATCTGCTTAAAATATTGTCCAATGAAATGAAATTCTACAACAGATTGTGTTTTTAATATACTGTACACCACTAGCCTGCATACCAAGTCCGCAGAAGGTTTGTGTATCGCTTTACCACAGGATATATGGGCGTATTAATAACTACAAACACACATTAATCGGATCGAGGCTTAACGAGTGCGGATCCAGAGGTGTGTTGGGGAAGGTGTGTGCTGGAGCTTTGTGTGACGTGTGGGAACATCAATAGCCGACTGCATTAGATACACAGAGAGATACACATGGTCCTGTAGGAGCATAATCTGTTTTGCAAATAAATACTCCTGGGAGATGGAAACCGTAGGTTTGGGCTACTGTTTTGAACTGTGATCCCTAAAAATCCTAGGCTGAAACCCCATAAACCGCTGGCCCGTGTATTGTATGAAACACCTGATTTTAATCAGTGCTCAGCCTTCCGAATAGACACGTCCAGTTCGCATTAGTGCTCGTGCAAAAGAGCCGTGTTTGAGCAGCAGCGCCTAGTGCAGAAGCGAAGTGTCTTGTTCCAGGCAGAGAAGTCCCAGCTAGCGCTTCAGACAGCCCAGCACTGAAAACCCATTAGCGCTTCAGCTGCAGAAACTCACTTCCCGAACTCCCACCATGGGCGGCTCTCGGGTGGGAGCAGCAGGATAGGTGCTGCAGACACACAATTCTAGTTAAAGGCAAGTTGGGGGGGCATTCTGTATAACTGGGTGTGTAGAATGAGATGCGAGATGCTCACATCTGCATCACACACACCCCCATTAGAGCTGCTAAACTACAAAATAAAAACGACTCCGTGCTCCTCAGCCTTCTGCATCAAGGGAAAAAAGAAAGACCGTTCAAAAATGTTCAGCTCCTTAAATAAAAGGCAATAAATAAGCTTCGGTATTTTACGGGGTATTTTTTTAATGCGGGCCTGTAATCCATAGGTGGAAAAATCACAGTATTAATTGCAAGACAACTTCCCTAATAATGCACTCAAAAGTTGCCCATGTACATTGTAAGACGCACGCCTTTGTGTGTACATAGCCACATTTCTAACTGTGAGAAAGGTGTGTGTGTGTATTACACATATGCACACAGCTATGTGGGCCGGTTGGGTGTCCTAATGGAGCATATTGAAAAAATACAACCTCAGAGGTAAGTTACTGGGCCTTGCCCTGGCGCTGCGGGTGTGAGTTGTATCCTTTTAAAAATAAAAGTGTTTAGACGTGTCAGTTTTCAGAGACTGTGGTAAAAGAACTCTCACTCCACTTTGCAATGATTCAAAGGGAAGCAAACTATGCGACAAATGCAATTTGCTTTATTATGTATTAAGCCCGTATGTAGAGTCGTACTCTTATTTCGGACAGTACTGTTGAAAATTTGGAAGAGCAATTCCAACCGAAAGAAGGGGGAAAAGCCACTGTCTGGGTGGAGGTAGGACTTGGACACGGTAAACCATGAAAAAATATCCCCTGGCCGTGGAAAAAAAAGTAAAGATGCTACATAACACACCTGAATTACAAAATAAACCCTGGACATAGTAAGGGATTTGTGTGTATCTTTCATCTACCTCCCCCTTTGGAAAATTAAGAGTTTAAACTACAAAATAAAATAAAATAAACCTAAAATACGAGTTAGTTTTCTTCCCCTTCCTATCGCATGGTCGTTTAAGAATCTAATTCCTCTTCCCCAGCATTGAGATACAAACTTCACTCTTCTTACCTGAACCAGCTCTCACCTCGGCACTGCCATGACCTATGTTAAAAAATTATTTACATGCAAAGGGGCCGCTCTCGGATCCCACATATTCTTGTAACGTCCAAGGATTAATCAGTCCTGAAAGACTCAGTGTGAAAGTGCCCCCCATTTAAACAAACTAGACATCACTATTGTAAAAGTATTCAAATACAAATGTAAGTAGTACAGAGAATGAGTTGGAACTTACAGTCTCCAGATATTTTGCACAAAGCCAGAATGAAACAGAAACTAAAAAAATAAAATACAAAATAAAAAAGCGCAGCTTTTGACAGATTCAATAGGCACCTAAATTCCCTACTGCACCAAAACCTTAATATCGACCCAGCTAGGAAACACAGCAGGTATTTCAAGCTGGGCTCTACAAGCGGTGGGGGTCGGAATAAACCCACCCTTTTCCTACAGCAACCCAACTCCTCGTGTGAAAATTCAGCTTTTCAAAAAAGAAAGGAAGGAAGGAAGAACGAGTCCAGGCGATGGGGAAAAATCTGCCGCAAAACTTAGGAGCTGAAATTCCAAAATCACAACCTATAGAAAGACACCCCCTTGTCGTGCCCCCCCATACCTTCTTAACCCCCCCTCCCCCCCAGCTGAGAGAGTCTAAATCTTTCCGTTTCAGCGTAGGAATCTGCGAATCCAAACCCTTCGTGAGAAAGGATCCATTTTGATACAAATTCTCTTCCCTTCTCTCTCTCTCTCTCCTAAATAATTGTCCCTTAGACTAGTGGGGTTTTTTCCTCTCCCTCTCTCTCTCTCTCAAATGTTAAGTCTCGTTGGATCCTGAAGGCTAGTGCCAAACGCAGATCTCTAGCGCCCACTATTTCAAAAGCCAGGAATATTATTTCACAAGACTTGGAACGACTCAATAAAAAAAAAAAAAAAAAAGTTGCTATCCCCTTTCGTCAACTTTGCAGCTAACTTTCGCTTCTCTCCCCCCCTTTATGGGCCATCTCTGCTCTCCTCCAGCTCCTCCGGGGTGAACCCCACCAAAGCGCTTCTGGGGTGCAAGAGAGACCCCCAGCCCGCAGGAAACTGCCAGCCGCCGCTCTGCTGAGCCCAGCGCGTCTCTGTGCTGAGCCGCTCACACACAAAAAACGGGTGGACAGCAGGGCTCTCGCATCTATTTCGCTCCAGGAATGAGAAAGGGCACGAAAAGGGGGCTCCTGCCCCGCAGCAGCACCCACCGCCCAGCCCTCCGGCGGCACAGATCCTGCGGGACCCTGGAGGGGACCCTGGAAGCGGAAGAAGGGAAAGAAAGGACCTACTTTTGGGCAGTTTTCTCGCCCTCGCCTTGGATCTCATCTTGTCGGCTTGTGGATTCTTCTCCTCCTCCTTGAGCCCAGAAGCAGCTACACACTATCTTCATCTCCCAAGCATTGTCAGTTTGGACACCTTCGCACATGCGCACAGAGCATTCAATCTGACACCCTCGCCAGGGCCAAAAAAACTTTCCAATGTATTCATCACCATCAGGGGGTTTTTTTTGGTCCTATCCTCTTCTTCAGATCACTTATCTCCCCCCCCCCCCCCAGCACCATCATAGCCTTTCCCTGATCTGCCCCTTTAAGAAAAATCAACCCACTCTAAGCCTAACCCTTTGCACACTGACCTTACACACTGGACAATATTTAAGGATCAAGGTACCATCCTATAAAGAGGTGATTATTTATTATTAATTATTACTATTATTTAATAGCAATGTTGTAGCACGGAGATTGTTAGAGGGTGTCATTCTGTAATTGCGAATATTTTAAACAGGCTTGTTTGGGGGTTTTTTTGATTAACTTTTTTTAATTTACTGTAACTTTTCCTTTGACAGCCAGGTTTTTTGGGTTTTTTTTGCTTTGATTCGGAGGTTTGCGTGGCTATTTAAAATCATTATCTGGGATTTGCCCCATGCTATCATATAATGGTTTTCACAAGGATATTCCTTTTTTTTTTTGAATGCCGTAACGAGAATGTCTGCTGACATTTTTGTGTGTGAACATTTTAATTAAAAATTTAAACACCGGTTTTACACTTTTTCAGGCTTGGGGGGTGTGTGGCACTTTTGCTATCAGAGTCCTTTCTTTATTATGCTGTGCACATTTGCATATGGCCAATATTGCTAAATATATATGTAACCTTGATCGTGCTAGTAGGGGAGTCGGAATTCTGTTTGGGTTTTTAGCCAAGAGCGGCTGCATGTAGCACAAGATGCAGTCACACTTAATCTGTACGATTTGGCGTGGCGTGTGTGTTTCTGCACTTCTTTTTTCGACAATTAATTAAGACAAAATAATATGTTAAAAGGTTAAAAACAATAGCTCGCCGGTGTTTTTAAAAGAGACTGAGAATTAGGATGCTGGGTTAAAGAGAAACATATGGTCCAGTCTACATTTGTGCCTTTGATTCAAAGCTCTGGCAGGTACCTGAGTTTGGATTTCAGAAGGATCCCATATCATTTCTATACGTTTCTCCCCCGCCTCCCCTCTCAAAAAAAATCTAGCTCGACCTCCTGTCTGGACTGGGCCATCCAGTTCTGAGGCTGTCCCTTCCCGGATGGGAGAGATGCTCTGCCTTACCCATCCCCTACCCACTGAAGGGGCTCTGAGGAGTAGAAAAGACCCTGGTTTGGAGAGAGCAAAGATGAGTCTCATGCTTTTACATTTTAGGTACCAAGGCAGAGCCATTTTCTGGACGCCAGATAATAATAGTGATCGCCTCCTTGGGAATATTAAAAATACTGCTACTCCTAAGTGATCCCTGCCTAGACATTGGAGTTGTCCGTGATCCCCGGAAGTGGAGGCACAGACAGATCAGACAGACCCTCTTTGAAGAAAGGAGCGAAGTGTAAATAGCTGGGTGATTGATGTGCTGTCTTTGACTGCGGAGAAAGCACTATTTTAATTCAAGTGGCCAGGTCAGATGGTCACGGAGGAAGGTTGAAAGGTAGGATTTAATGAGATTAATATGGAGGGAGAGCGACTTCATAAACATTCAGGAACAGAAGCGGGCTGGGGAAAGTACTCCGATTTGCAGTGAAGGTGCAGAAACATATTGGGGACTCGGCGAGCAGAAGCGTCTCACTCTAAGGCATTCCAAAAACAAAGGGAAAGTTAGATGGGTGGCTGGGCTCTCTCCTGGAAGCCATTCTGCCAGCTGAACTTTTGCACTGCAGGTGGGGGGGGGGTGGAATTATCCTTGCTAATTACTGGGTTTCCCTTCCTCACTGCCCTCTTTAATTGCAGATGGAAGCAGGGCCCTTTTAGATGTTACTTATTTAGTAATAGGTGGGGAGGGGAAGGAGCCCAATTTTTTAATAGACAGATAGTGAAACTTCCAACCACGTGTCGCGAAAAGTGCTGAAATGCGGATTGCAGATTTCTTTCTTGAAAATGTAGTAATATTCAGAGAGTCGTTTCACTTCATTGTGCGGACCCGCAGGTTGGAAACTCAAATTGTTTGTAGCTTAAATGTTGAAACAGCAGAGCTGACGTTTCAAATCAGTTGAAATATTTCCTACAAAGACCGTAGGTATCTTCCACACCCCTAAAATGAGCTGGTAATGGAAGACCCAGGTTTGGGTTAAATGTTCTTAGTTCTTTTCTTTTCGACGTTATTGTCCATTCACTGTTTTTGCAGAACAGACATGAAAACAAAATCTTGATTTTTTTTTCCAAATGGCATTTAAAAAACTCGATTTAACAAATGACAACGGGGCTGGAAGACTATAGTAACAGGAGTCGGGGTTCGAGTACAAACAGCAGATTGGTTTGAAGTTAAGTATCTAAAAGCATGCTATTGCTAATTGCACACGGCTTTGCTTTTTTAAAAAAAGAATTCTGCATGCAAATAATTCTTTGCTGGAGTCCGAATATACAAGGGTGTATCTTGCATTAACTATTAGCAAGAATAGCATTTCTCGCACAAGACATATACTTATTAGAACTCCATCGCGTTATATCTAGGAAGCAATGAACTGCAGACAGTGCTTCTGCTAGATGATCTGTTTAACTCTAGTGCTAAAATCCAGCTGTTTGGCTGAGTGAAGGTGCACTCAGGTGCGTATGAAGAGCTTGAACTATACCAGAAGGTCAAATCACCTTCACCTGTGAAGAGAGCACAGCGGAATCTCGGGGATTTTTATATACCCCCAACCCCCCCGGCACAGCTGTCCCTTTTACCCTGTACAGCAGGCGAACGTGTAAAAACTGCTATTAATACGGATTACACAAAGGTATAATTGAAAGTAGTGTTCCCTGGCTGTGCAGACACATCTCTCTTATGCAACTCTTCTTAATCATAAGCCTGCCTTTCGATTGCCAAATATCCAGCATCCCGATTACATATATGTCTATATTTCCTTCCAGAAATAATGCAGCAGCAGCGATCCACTAAATGCTGCGTCCGACTATCCCAGGAACCAGTTGTGTTAGCAGGACTTTCTCGTTACAGATTCCTAGACAGTGTCAGTGACAAGATGGACTCTCTGGTCTATTTTTTTTTAAAAGGAATAATTTTATTTTTTCATTACAAATTAAACAGAGGAAATGAAATGCAAAGCAAAGCAAACGAGCTCCCAACTAAGGCGAGGCAAAGAGATTCGGAGCAGCCCTTAGTTTTACTTTGAAATGATTTTCACATCTTGTATTAACAACGCTGATGTAGTAAATACGTGCACAGTTTAAATGTTGCAACAAAGATCGAACGGATTTCTCTTCGGTCCCCCATCCCTTCCTCCTCCCCCTACCATCTTTCCTACAATAATTTACAAAGAAGGAAATATACCATATGGGGGGGGGCAGTTTTCCTTCCCTCTCCCCGCCACCCCCTTGCAAAAAACAGGTACAAAACTGACATCGGATTTACCCTAGATTATTCGGGGAGGGAGGGGGGGTGGACCTAAAAAGCCAAGAACCAATCTCAAACTGTATTTATTTTTCTCACACACACACACACACACATTATTGAAAGTGTGCTTTCCTGATTCGGACAGAGGGGAGTATCTATAATTGAACAAGAATCCCCGCTGTTTTCCCAGGGTCCCCTTTTACAAAATTGGTTTTAGATCAAAAACATATTTTGATTGTCTTGTTCTTTAAAAAATCCAAACAAATCGAGGAGTGATCTCCGTTTACACTGCGCTCCTGCTAGGTTCGAATGAATATGGTTCGATTCGATGCGCAGAGAAGACAGCCGGCTAACACCCTGGTTTTACATGCCTTTCCCCCAGCCCCACGTCCCTGGTTTATACGCCCGCACAGCGCAAAGGGTGTTTTGCTATATTTCAGACTTGACCTCCCAAGGGGAGGAAACGGGACTGAAGACCAAATGCTGGTGCTCAGCAAATCCCAAACACCCGAGATGAAACCTCTGGCCATCCTCAAATACCGATTCTGCGGCTTGTTGTCAAAAGCCCGACGTCCCTGGCCGGAGCAGACGTGCGACCTGCTCGCCGGGTATTTGATTTTACAGAGAAATCCGTATGATCCTCTTTTGCACCTGTTTGAATACGTGTCGCTTGCACGGATAAGTGGAGGGATTCCTTGCTGCTCTACTTGCTTGGGCTGGGGAAGGGTCACTTGTGAACGCCTGGCCTGGCGAGTGGAGCCACATAACCTTGTGTTCTATCCCCACAGCACCACCGCTCCTCCAGCTCGCTCTGTAGCCCTGTACAATGATTTCAGAGGACGCAGACAATACGGGTGAGTGGCTGAGCAAGGCCCAGGGAATACCTGCCTCTCTCCGGGGGATTTAACGGTAGCTCGCCAGGATCCCCAAACGCATGCTGGGTGCATTCCTGCAGCTGGTTTCAGGCTATACCCCCCCGGAGGAGGCCACGTGGAGGCAGGATCTTAATCGTTTTCCTGCCCCATGAAAATGCTCAGGCCTTTACATTTTAAAACAAAAACCACTGGCCAGGAGAGAAGAGTGCAGAGCCCCTTCTGCATTGGGGTCATGACAGGGGAATTGCAGTTAGCCCAGGCACACACTCTGGGGCTGGAGAGGGTGGGTCTGTCAGCCGGGCACACGCACAAACCAGTCCTGGGGAGATCGCCATTTTAAGAGTCTGCCTCTGCCCCTATTTCCACCTTCATCTCTGGTTTCTCATCCAGCCAGGGCACCCCCCCCCCCTCCACACACACACACACACACCGGCGCGCGGGTTATATTTTAAAGGGGCTCTAAGGTGGATACTGGAGTGGTTCTAATTTAGGGGTCGCCTGGCTGGCATTTTCATTGCAAAGTCCTGGGCTTTCTGGACGTTGTGAACTTGGCTTTGAAAGTACTGTACGCTCCAGGCGAAACTTTGCGTGCCAGGATCCTCGTTTAAAACGACAGTGAGCCCCAGGTTGGTCATCTTCACCATCAGCCACGAAGCAGGCAGGGCAGCCCAGTCTGGGAGCGGACATGTCCACAGCAGCACCTGAGAGGCGGCTTTCAGGTGGTTTTCCACTGCTTGGAACACATGGGTTTACACTTGGCAAGCTGGTGTGCACAAGTGCTTTTTAAGTAGTAAAGCAGATTAAAATGGCTGAGATGTTGTGACTCGAGCAGGAGCTGGGGCACCTGCTTTCTCTTCCCGAGGATTTTAGCACAAATGCTGATTGTTCCTGCCCAGCGTTGGAGGGAGATTATACAGAGAATTATTTTTAAAAAATACGCAAAACTCCCCTGGGCACATGAAGGGGCCGCTCTGCTCTAGTGTCAGCGAGGCGCAGATTAGCCGGGAAGAATGTCACACGCTTACCTAGAGGGTTTTTCCTTTTTAATCTGCCATCAATAAACGAAGGAAACAACACACACAACCCCCACATTGTAACCCACGCAAATTCCCTTTCATCCCCGATTATGCCCAGTAATTTCAGCATCTTTCATCCCGGCTTCAAAGCCCCGTTTCGCTGCAGGCACAAGGGGGCAGTTAAGGGTAAGACTGGAAACATTTGCAGGCAGTGAGGGTGGCTGGGAGGTCAGCAGCAATTGGCCAGGGGGGGGGAAGCCAGAACCCCGAACTCAGCACTGGGCCAGTCAATGAAGGAGGAGCTGCCGTGCAAAGCTCCTGGTTGTCGCTGCCTGTGTTAGTTTCTTTCACTTCGCTGCGTCGAGCCTGTCAATGGGAAAGTTTGTGTTTGTTTAAATAACAGATGTTTACGGCTGCCCTGGAAAAGATCTCAGAGTGTGTGTGTGTGTGTGATTAATTCAAAGGATTCACTACTGGTCACAAACCGATTTGCAAGAGCTCCTGTTCTAAAACACTGAAATGGGGCCGCAGCATCCGCCCTGAGCAAAGCCAGATTTACACGTCTGAACGCGGAGTTATTCCCCTTTGCCAGAGGATTCTGCTGGGAAACCCGACGTTGGCCATTCTTTGCCCCGAGCCTGTAGCACTCTCTTTATATTTGTAAGGGTGGGGTTAATAAAACGAGTGGGTGCAAGGGGCGATGTGGGGTGAAAGTGGAGAGAAGCTGAAATGCCTCCTAAAAGCGCTGTTCCGATGAAATGGTCTTTAGAATCAGGTAAACACTTGTGCTACTTTTTTTAAAGGCATATTATTTACCCAATAAACTGTAATAGCGCCTTCCCTGGGTAAAGATCTGTTTATTTGCATACGCCGTTGGAAAAACATTATTTACCCAAACGCCCCTAAAAAGCTGCTTAAGAATCATCATTCCTTGTTGAAGGAGAGGGAGAGGGAATTCTGCTGGTCTTCTGCACAGAAAAAAAACCAAACCAACAAGAATTCTTAAGGCATTTGTACTGAGAAAATTGGAAATAAAATAGGACGAAAAATACCATTCTATCAGGCTAATATAATCTAAATATATATCTCACTGCACGTGTCTTCCTAAAGCACAGTATTTTCTGGCTAGTTTTTTTAATGTTAAAATATATTTGGATCCCAAAACTAATTTCAATGCAGTTTACTAATTTCCAGGAATAAAAATACTGGTCCCGTTACGGCCCTGAAAAATTAAGCTTCTTTTTTAAAAAATACACGATCAATTTAAGAATTCCTTCACATTCGTTGCGGTCCATTGTGTAACTCACAGTTAACTGGTCCAAAGTAGAGTACCAGCGCACACGTTAAAACAAGGGGCTGCGAAAGGGATCATTCAAACCTCAAATATCAGAGGATTTAAAATAACATTTCGGATAATAGGATGATGCACAAGTGTCTTAAAATGCCATCCTGGCAGTTTAATTAGTTTTTGCATGATGCCAGCACAAAATTAATTAATCCCAACCGTCTTGCATGAAAAATTTAAAATAAATGCTAAATTATTTGTTACATTTGATTTAAATGTTTTGTTGCGAGGAGAAGACTTGCTAAATTACACCAAGAAGCAATTGACAGGTAATAAACCATTAAACCGTTTTATAATGGAAAGGGCGAAGTGTCCTGATGTAACAGGACAGGCTGTTACACAGCCCTGCTAGGAGATTTGTAATTCTTTTCTGACAGGCCTGTGCATTATAATAATTTAGCCGCTATGCCGCAAACGAAAACCATTTTGGGGGGAGAAACATTTTTTCCTACCGAGATACATAATTTCTAAAATACCCAAACGCTCTATTCAACGTCCCTGTTTGCTTAAAATTAGCTCAACTCTCCACCTATTTCAAAGGCGGATGCTGTAGCGTTCAGTGAAGTGTGTTGATTTGCAGGGGTTACAGGACAGAGAGGGACCCAGAAAATCTACATCCGTACAAAAATTAATTCTCGAAGGGAGCTCGACACCTTATCCCTCCTCCATTCGCCTGAAACAAAAATGTAGATCCATTTTTTAATAGCCAGCAAACCGGGCACCAGGGGGGTTGTAACTCAAGAGGGGAGTTTCTTTAATTAAGTCGGGGGGGGGGAGGGAGAGAGAACGGGAGGTTTAAACTGAACTGCGTGCAGATTTAATTTACTATCCTGCAAAATATCGGATGCCTTCCCAGATAGTGTTATGTTCGTAACAATTATTAAAGGAAGATCCGTTTAGATCTTTACCCCTGAAAAGTCAAACCCCTCCTCCCCTCATTTTTCTCAACACAGATCAAAGCTGCACTAGAGCCAGTTTCTCTGAAGACACGTGGAAAAGAGGAGAAATCGCCGGCATTGTGTTTAGTTTCACGCATTGTTTGCCTGTGGAGAACAAGGGAGCGAATTCCCCCGAGAAGGCAAAGCACCGAACCTGAAGGGTGTGTGGGGAGAGGGGCGGGGGCGAAGGTGGGGTTCGCTCTATTGTTCCTAATTAATTCTGATTCACAACGATTCCTAATCAAAAAAATGTTGGCTTCAAAGTCGGAGAGCCAGGAGGACGTAATGAGGAGTCCGCGCCATGGATCGTGTGTAAACTGTCCCCTTCCTTTCTTCTCAGTATAAATAAAGCGGGGCCAATGGATGAAGACAGAACAGGGCAACCTTCTTTCGCCCTATATTGATGCTCGGCTACCGCAATTAACATTGCTGCATACGGAGTGAGTCCCCTCCGTGTACATGCCTTCGCCCCCATGCTAATGAGGGCTGCAGCGGAGTGAGCTGTATAATTATTAGCCATTAATTGAGTTCAGGACCTTTTATGGCTGTGGGAAATGAGCAGTCTGACCACTCATTCCAATAAGGGTCTGCACACAGCCAAGAGCGATGAAAAGTCATCCCGGGCTGGCTGGGCCCAGCCCGACACAATCCCCCAGAGGGGGAGAAAGACATTAACGGGGAGGGGGGGATCGGTAGGTGAAAATGACAGACACTTTAACCGGATGGATTTATTTCAGAACTTTGACGCGGAGTCGCCACGCGAGTGCCCAGGAAGCCGAGAGAGGCAGCTGACTGGAACAGCTTGTCTTGAGGCAAGGAAAGAAACACAATAAAGTTAAATAAAATAAAGTGCACATTAAGGGAAAGGCTATGCAGGCGCACAGACTCACTCTGAGCTGGGGGGGGGGGTTGTTTTCCAGTTACTGGGCTGAGGAATGTAGATCTGACTAGGAGAGAGCCCATATTTCTGGGGACACCCCCCCTTCTATTCATTTGAAGATACAGATAACCCCAGGGCTGGCCCAGTCACTGGGGAAAGTGAAAGGCAAAGGGATAATGTTCAGGTTGGAATCTCACTTTGCAAAAATTGCATCTATGATTACCCCGACCCCCGCGCTCCGGGAAACCTGTTCCACATTTAAACTAACTTGCAAGTTTCAGATTTGCGCCAGGATCTGCAAAAAATAAAATTCCCCCTCCTCCCCCGAAGTCACTCAAAATCAGTCCACGCGCCCATTGCAAGAATCAATCCGAATTATATTGTTACATAAACTGCGGCTGCCTTCGCTCCGGGAAGTGCAGTTGCCTTCTGGAGCGGGGAACGGAGCCTGGCTCCCAGAGCGCGGTTGCATTAGCCTGTAGGGCACAGAGCAGCCCCCAGAACAGTGGCATTATTGGGGAGACCCTGCGAGGGGAAGCGGTGGAGTGGGAAGCAAGAAACGGATGAAAGTCCGTTTCAGCTCCAGTGACAGCAGGGCGGGCTAAAGGAAGCCGAGCTGCAGCGAGCTCCATGTCCCAGTCTAGCACAGGGTGTCGCAAAGAACAGCCCCCCCAAACCAGCAACCCTCCCCCCAGGAAAGCAGCTGGCGGGGTGATTCCAGCTCCGGAGGGCGCAAGAGGTTCTGCCTTTTGGTTTCCTACCTAAAGAAACCGACACTGGCTCTGAAAAGGTGACAGATGCTGCTGTTCCCTACCCCCCCCCGTCTTTCTACAGCGCTGGCATGTGGCAGGCAGGAGTGGCCCGTCTCACCCGGGAAGGGTAAGGCCAGCACATGTAACTGCCTGTGTCATTCGACTCCCTATAGACGGTCCAGGGCTGAGTATTTACAGGTGGACGGGTCGGGTCTCTGACGGTCACGGGGGTCCGCACTTTATCCCTGGAATCGGAGAAGGGGGCTACAGGGGATGAAGACAAGATCCGCATTGCTCCAAACGTTCAGATTTGCGTGGTTGAATGGGGAAAGGGGAGACCGAGAACACCCCCCCCCCCAGCACGAATCCATATTGCAGAACGTGGGAGCGGCGACTCTAGATTCACTTTGTTACGTATCCTTAACTTCACGTTTCCACCTTCCAATTAAAGTTGCCCAAAATTGCCCACAGCCTTATTTGCATGCAAGGGACTCTGTTCAAAGATGCTAACGTATTGTCTCCTCTTAGAACTTAACATTTCCCTCTTCAGTTCTCACTTGAAAGAAGTTTCAGAACAGTATTCACAGACTGTCCAAACGAACAAAACCTTCCCCTTTGCTAGGAAGAGAAATCCGGTGTATTCAATCAAGGGGGGGGGGGGGTAGAAGAGAAGCATATTCTCAGAAGTCTGCAGATTTTTTAAAAGGCTGCATTGTTCTTGCCTTTTCCTGAAAACTGATTTTTAAAGCACAAACTCGCACGCATGAAAAAAAAAAGATTAAAATAAAACATCACCGATTTCTTTTTGCACAGTTTAGACTCTTAGAATTACTTTTCTGCAAGAGCTTTCCAAGCACAGCCTTTCCGAAGGCATAATTATCAACTTTAAAAAAAAAAACAAGCAAACAAGGGGGAAAAAAGACCCAGGACTTTCCCCAATGCTTCTTTCTTCGATTTTCATTATTTCAACTCAAGACGATAGCTTAGGACTGTCGAAAGAACCTGACTTCTTCCAAGTCCCACCTGAAAAACGTTTGGGTGCCAATTATGTACTGATCATGCATGCAAAGAGCAGTTGGATGTTGATTATTTATATGCCCAGGGAGATTCTAACCGCATCTCTGGAAAAAAAAAAGAAAGAAAGAAAGAAAATTTCACACACCCGCAATCCTTTCTGTGCACTCTACATTTGTTTAAAAGGCAAAGGGGCCTCTCCTCTTTTTTTGGGGGGGGGGGTTCCTAAAAGGAAGATCCAAGCCAAGCAAACTGGGGAAGTTGAACCACTTTTTGGCTGCCTCTTGGGAAGGCGATAAGTGCAAAAAGCCCGTGGCAACCCATTTATGATTAACTCCTTTTCTTAGAAAGGTGCATAATGGGACCAAACAGGGAGCTGATGGGACATGAACATATTTTATCCATTTAGGACACAAAGCAGCTTTTTGAGATATATATATAACTCCCTTTCAAATTCAAGGTAGTTAAGGGCATAATTCAATGGAGTAGGCGGGAGGGGGAAACGTATGGAGTGTGAGGTGATTTTGCAGTGATCTTTCATTCACCGGTGGGGGTGCCTGATATATCCAGGCGCGACAGGGAGAGAAATGCGGACCGCGGGCTAAGCATATGCGACAAACGGGGTCTTTGGCTTGGAAAACACCTCCCAGGAACCCCGATCACATGCCTGGAGAGGCTATGCCACCAGAGCTTGGCCCCATCCAGATAGCCCTGTGTGTCCACAACACCATGGCCCACGGGCAAAGACGGGGTACCCAACTACTGAGCACTGACCGGGGCTGGCTCCCTTCTCCTGCTTCGCTGAGCCCAAACCTCTAGGCAAGGGTTCCTGCATTGACATGGCGGCGTCTAGCTCCGCCTGGCCCTACGGGAAAACGCTCTGCAAAATGCCACAGTAAAGACGAAGCCTAACCACGACCCGCTATTCATCACGCCTGGGATTCTGTCTACACAGGCCAGCGCACAGATAGAATTCTCCGCTCGTGTTTCTGGGCTGGCTCCGGAAAACCCCATGGGAAGGTTATTTTCGACTCCAACCCACGGGAGTTTTCCTTCAAGGCTCGTGGTCATTTCCACAGCTCTGGGTCTGGAGGAGGGAAGGGCTGTAGATGACCCCGGTGACTGACTAGCTTTTAAAAAGACCGTTGTCAATGACGTTCAAATCAGGAGACTCATGATGCTTGCCCCCCGCCACCCTGTGTCCGCTGCCCCCCTTATGTTGGGTGGAAGGGGGGGGTTCCTCTCCAGACAGTTTTTCTTGACGATTTCTGTCCAGATCTTGGTCGCTACCCCCCCTCGGGGAAAGGAGTCCAAGAAACGAAGGGCGCACGAACCTGACATGGGGGGGGGGCGCCTGCTGCCTGCTACCCTCCCCCCCTCGCCCCCCACCAGGGCAAAGGCAGGCGTGGCACGAAGCCCGGCGCGCCTCGGTTCTGGCTCTAGCGCGTCTCGGCTGCGTTGACACGGAAGATGGCAGCAGAATTCTGCGAGAACAGAGGCTAGAGCGCGCCGAGGGGGCAGCGCCCGTCTGCCCTGAACCCAGCTCCCCTCTGCCTTGCTGGTCTGAGCCCAAAGCACGACCCCCCCCCCCCCCCCCCCTTCCTTCAGGGCTTGGGCTGGACCCCCCCCCCACACATACACGGCGAGCAAGGTGCGTTTAGACGTCGAGCTAGGTAACTCGAGTTAACGCACGCCCCTGGCTCCTTTCGCCGTGAAGACGCAGGGGTGGCAGCGTGCCGGGCGGGTCAGGTGTTCTGCCTGGAAACCTCCCTCCAACTGTGTAAGCGGGGGTTGATTCTTGCCGCTCCTCAGCGCTTTCTTCGTGGTCACAAAGTTACTAACAGACACGACTAGATGTAAGCCAAAACTACAACCCCGCTCCGCGTCCCACCTGTACTGACTACACAGGCCCCTTGGGAGACGGATCCGGGCTAGTCCCCCCCCCCCCGGCGGGCCAATCCCCCCCCCCCCCCCCCCCCTGTCCCCCCCCCCCCCCCCAAACGACACTCTCCCGCTGTTAAAACCAGGCCCGGAGACTCGCTTTACTGGCCCACAAAGAGCTAATCCAATAGGAAGGAAACAATCAGAGCCCTGCTCTGCCAAGCCAGCTACAAAAGTGCAGAAACCAGGAAAGCCCTGGAGCAAAACCACTCTGGATGTGACCTTAAGAAGATGCAATCAATCCTGCTCTGGTAGGGGGACACCTCGGCGAGACCTGCCCTGCTCACGGAAACCCAGGCAGGGACGGGAGCCTTTTAACCCTTTTTGTGCCCTAGCCAAGTTCAGTAAACTCCCTCCTCCCCATCAGACAATTAGCTACCAAGATGATGAGAAAGGGCTGGGGTGAGCAATGTCCTCTGTGCATTTAAGAAGTTAGGTAGCAGCTTTAAATGCAAGAAGGTTTGGCTTGGCTAGGGGTAGGACTACAGGTAAGGCAGACACTGCATGCCCAGGTACCTGGGTATAAACAGCCGTGTAGATAGGAGGCATTGCTTAGCAGAGAAGAACACAGACATGCTGGAGCCCTAGAGTGTATGTCCTACCGCTGTTTTAGGTGGTGGGGACCCGCACCCCTGAAATAGAAAAGGATTCATTGGAAAAGGGAGCCTGTTGATGCACCCCTAAGAATTGGTGGTTGTTCTGTCCCATCGCATCACCCTAAATCGGCACCCCTTTTGACTCCTATCCTGCCGCCAACTTGTGTCCCGGCACAGACAAACGGCAGCCAGGACAGCCACTCAGAGGAAGCTGATGTTACAAACACAGTTGCCCAGTGCTACAAAGGCAGGAGGCAGACAGTGGAAGCTGCAGGTTTTTCTCCCAGGCCACTTCCTGCTGAGCTCAAGACATTAGTAATAGTAAACATTTATAACAGAATGAAAGCCAGAAGCCCCAATTGGGTCAGGTCCACTCCCACAGTGAAACGCAGGGTCTGTCTACAGTGGAACTGCTACGCTGTTTGGAGGAGTTCGTCTGTCGGGCACAGGTAATCCACCTCCCCCAGAGGCAATAGCGAGATCAACAGAATAATTCTTCCCTCTACCTAGCACTATCTATGCTGGGTTTAGGTTGGCAGAGCTCTCTCTCTCTCTCAGGGGTGTGGATTTCCACACCCTGAGAGATGTAGCTAGGCCAATGTAAGTTCCCAGTGTACACCAGGCCACAGGCCCCACCTCAGAGAGACTGCAATTTAAATAGATAGAGACTGGGCAGGAAGGGAATGACTTGCCCAGGTACACCCAGCAGAGCCAGGACTAGAACCCATGTCTCCTGATTTACAGGGCCCTATCCCATGGGACCATGGTGCCTCCTAATCCAGACCTGCTGGAGAGAGTTCATCCCTCCCCCCAACAACAGCCTATGTCTATTATTTTTCCAATAATCACCCCTTGAAAGCAGAGTCTAAAAGAGCAGGACAGCAGCAAGACCCTACTCTGAGTTTCCCTTTGTGTTCAGATCCAAAATCCTGTCCAATGCATTTACCTGGCAGAGTCATTCATAATTACCCACCTGACTGGGAACCGTCTCTGAACATTCTTGTGCCCTACTCCTCTCTGTACGGGTTACCTCTGCAGCCTGGTAAGGGACAGATACCCCCTTAGCACACTAGAGCCCCAAACCAGCCTGATGTTTAATTTCATAGATTCATAGATTCTAGGACTGGAAGGGACCTCAAGAGGTCATCGAGTCCAGTCCCCTGCCCTCATGGCAGGACCAAATACTGTCTAGACCATCCCTGATAGACATTTATCTAACCTACTCTTAAATATCTCCAGAGATGGAGATTCCACAACCTCCCTAGGCAATTTATTCCAGTGTTTAACCACCCTGACAGTTAGGAACTTTTTCCTAATGTCCAACCTAAACCTCCCTTGCTGCAGTTTAAGCCATTGCTTCTTGTTCTAGCCTTAGAGACTAAGGTGAACAAGTTTTCTCCCTCCTCCTTATGACACCCTTTTAGATACCTGAAAACTGCTATCATGTCCCCTCTCAGTCGTCTCTTTTTCAAACTAAATAAACCCAATTCTTTCAGCCT